AAGGTGTTAGGAAAGTGGAGGCCTGATCAGGTGCTCCAAAGAAAATACTATTAAAAACAGTTGAGTGATCAGATGGAAGAGGATTTTGTGGAACTCTGCCTCCTCCCAACAGTTATTACAATTAAGGTTTAATCCAAGTTTGGAAAAGCAGGAAGTGTGTTTAACTGGCCACATTTTGCTTAGTTTCTTTTAATGTGGGCACACTGAGGGTCAAAAATAAAGCCTTGGATAAAAATTTCACTTGGTGAAAGACTTATCTTGTTGATGAAAAAGCTGACCCTTTGTTGGCACATTGGGCTACATATAAGACCATAAACAACCTCCTAAACTTTTATATCTGTGTTTTTAAATGGATCAGATTGTGTTGGTATATAACTAGTGAGGTGTGGATACCAGAACTGGTGTGTTGCAGTTGGATCCTTGCTTATAAGACCATACTTACCACAACAGTATATCTTTTGGGAATTGGTTGCTGAAGAATTACATGATTGAAAGAACTTCAAAATTAAAGTTCTGGTACCTATACTAATCTACATTCTGAGATGTATGTTTGGTAACCATTAATTCAGTTAGAGAAATTAGGATTTCTTTGCACAAACCTCCCTAGTTGAGACGCTTCAACAAGAAGTGAACAGCTTCCCCTCCCCACCCCCCCCACTACTATGCTGTATTTTCTGCCAGTGTATTTAGTAAAGCTGCACAGTATAACTGGTGAAATGCTGAACCCTGATTATCAGGTTAGATAACTCAGGATTTTCTGACAGTCCTCTGTGGAGATCTGAATAGCAGTTTTGTGCATTATGCCTTTTTAAAGCACACCTACATTTTTAACAGGAGGAACTAAGCAGCACACTGGGAGCTTAACAAACAGGCCACAAGACAAGTTAAACAAGATGAATAATTGGCATGGCATTATATTAGTATGCCTATAGCTGCTTTAATTTTACTTTGGTCACAGGGTCACTTAGTTTTCTTTTACTCTCCCACGGAAATTTTATGCACATTTACTCTGACAGTAACTCTCTTGCAATCTCCCATCAGTCTGTAGAGCACAAAGAGAGTGAATATTTATATAACTCCTTTTAAAAAAATGTAATACTCTTCTGTTTGGGAAGAGAGATGCAGACCCAAGTGTGGTATCTATTCCTTTAAAAACAAAAACCCACACCCATATTCCTCTAGGAGCAGTACTTAACAGTTGTAAAGAAAATCTGTTTGCTTACAGAGGATGCCTTGTGGTCTTGAGATGGTTGCTATCTTAGTTGGAGCTGTTTTAGAGGAGAAAACTGTAGAACTGTCTGGAATTTCAATTAGAAGAAAATTGAAGAACTTGGAAGTTTCAAATGGCAAGGAGGAGAAAAGTAAAGTTTCTATTCAACTTTTTTTTAATAGTTTGTCATTTGCTCTGAGGGGTGTGTGTATGCATGTATATTTCCAACTATACACCCACCCAACACATTTTGAAGAAGAGAGGTTATTTTTATTTGACCTAACATTTAAAGTATCCTCTGATATTCCTGGGGAACAGGAGGAGGGAGTAGGTGGAATTGTGGTGGGTTTTACAATCCTAGTGCAAGTAGTATGTAGAAGGAATGGAAGAAGTGGAGACAAAACATGATTTTGAATGCTTTAAACCATATATAACTTACAGGTTTTATAAGTAAAATATTTTTCTCTGAATATCTGAGCTCCAGCAGGGATGGAAGCCTTCTGGGATGGTAATAGAAGTTGTTGGAGGATCCAGAGCTCTCTGCAGATGCCAGGAAAGACTCCATCTAGGCAATGAAAAGCGTATGGGATGGTCGAGAGAGAGGGTTTGGAGGGAGTGGATACAACTGCAGCTGGGGCCAGAAGCTTTCTGGGAGATTGCCACACTGTTAGAAGAAGCTGTGAGATAAGGTGAAGGGGGAAAACTTTGATGCTAGAGTACATCAGTCTGGCAGTTTCTAAGACCTCATTGTGGTATTGTTTGACATTGTGGAAGAATTTCAGCTCATGCGCACGGCATAGGAGACGCATCTGATCCTTTCCAATAAATTGTTTGAAGTAGATAACTTACAAAAAGCTCTGTTCTTGTATTTCGCTGAATATACAGTGTAATGATAGTTCATTGTATCCCAAGTACTGTTAACTCAAAGTTAGCAAATATTTATAGTGTAGTAGAATTGTTTGTTTATGCTTTGTAGTCAATGCACAAGGTTATTTGCTTGCTTCAGTTGAATGTGTCGGAGGTGCTTGAACTTTCTTGGAAATAAAGTTCAGCAGTCACATTAAGGCAGAGGTGGGCAAACTACAGCCCACGGGACCGTCCTGCTCAGCCATTGAGCTTCCGGCCGGGGAGGCTCACCCGCAGCCACAGCGCCGCACAGGCAGTGCTCTGGGCAGCGGGGTTGCTTGCTCCTACTGAGCAGAGCAGCAGTGTGTCTTGCTCCGGGCGGCGCGGCTGCCAGACATGCGGTTCTGAGTGGCATGGTAAGGGGTCTGGGGGGTTGGATAAGGGGTGGGGAGGTCCCAGGGGGCGGTTGGATGGGGCGGAGGTTCTGGGGGGCCGTCAGGGGATAGGTGGGGGGATTGGATAAGCGTGGGGGTCCCGGGGGCCTGTCAAGGAGTGGGGGTGTGGATAGGGGTCAGAGCAGTCAGGGGAGCTGGATAGGGGTGGGGTCCTGGGGGCAGTTAGGGGCGTGGGGTCCCGGGAGGAGGCGGTTAGGGGACAAGGAGCGGGGGGAGGGTTGGATGGGGGGGCGGGAAGTGTGAGGGGGCGGATAGGGGGTGGGGGCCAGGCACTTCGGGGAGGCACCGCCTTCCCTACCCGGCCCTCCATACAGTTTTCCAACCCCAGTGTGGCTCTCGGGCCAAAACATTTGCTCACCCCTGCATTAAGGGTATGTGTACACTGCAGCCGGGAGTGTGCCTCCCAGTCTTGGAAGACTTCTGCTAGCTCTGTTTGAGCCAGCGTGCTAAAAATAGACGTTGTGGCATGGGCAGTGGCTTGGGCTAGCTGCCCAAGTCCAAACCTGTCTGAGCTCGGTGGTTAGCCTGAATCAGTACCTGTGTAGCAACATCCACACTGCTATTTTCATGCTAACTCTGAGCTAGCACAATAAATCTGTCTACCTGGGCTGCAAGGCATGCTCCCAGCTACAGTGCAAATGTACCCTAACAGTCCAGGCAATCTGTTTCTCCTCTGAAGACTTTCTTTTGGCACCTTAAGGGTCCCAAGTAGTGGATGCAGCTTCCTTTGAATAAAGGAGAACGGAACTGGGTCATTTGGGGAGCATATTAATTTCTGATGTAACTAATTTCATCTGCTTCAGGGGAATTACACCCTGGTGATAATTTCAGACTGGGTGTAAACAGGTGTAGTTTCCATTTTACTTTCCAGGCTCAGTTTACTGTTTCTCATAGTAGGTTGTGTACTTGCTGCAAGTTGGTTAGAGAACAGGTGTTTAGTAGTGACTGTTTATACTAATGCTTATTCTTGTTAGCAGAGCCAACTGGGGTGTGGTGTATGTGTGTGTGTGTGTATATTTTATTTTTTGGTTTGGCCAATGAAGTGAAAAATCAGGGAAATTACTCAGTTTGAAAAGTGCTCAAAATTTATCAGCAAATCAGAAAAGTCCACTTCAGTCGTCTTTTAAGGGCCAGCTTCAGAGAGACAAGATGGGTGAGGTAATATCTGTTATTGGACCTATTTCTGTTGTTGAGCGAGACAAGCTTTCCAGCTTTCACAGAACTCTCCTTCAGGTCTAGAGAGTCATTCTCTCTCTCTCCCTCTTCCCCCACTGAAGCTGTCCCTAAAATCTTTTTCCCACATGAAGCTAATCGGATCAAATTTGTGAATGCTTTTGAGTTGATTGAAACTGTTTGTTTTTTAACAAATAATCTATTTGTCTGAAAAAAAATTCCCCAGCTCTAGTAGAAACGTCAACCATTCTAGCCCCGAAATCTCATAGATCCATGTAGATCTCAGGTGCTCTACAGGAGATGAGGGTCTGGAGTCCCCATGCTGCTCTGGTGCCACTGGGGTCCTCATAGCTATCCAATAGCTTCTGATAGTAGCTCACTATTGCCAGTGCTGCCTCCACTGTCGCTGTCAGCTGCTCTGGGCTTCTTCTGTGCTTCACAGAGGAGAGGGTCTGTGGAAATGGTAAATGCAGTTAGGACTAGGTTTTTTAGTGGTGTTCCTACTGGATACTGAAAGATGAGGATAACACACATTCTCTTTTCCCAAGCCTTCTCTTTTCCTCTCCTGAGCTGAACCCACAGAAAAGTTGTAGGGAGAAAATTTTAGGCTTTGGTGAAAGTCTGGGACTTTGAAAGGCTATAAAACTCTGGCAACAGTTCATGGGAGGAAATACCGGTTACTCACTACAGGCTTTTCTATAGGCTACTGTATCATCTGGCTTATAAGTAGTACATTTCTGAAGGCATACAGTATAGACGTTATGATGGGGAACCAATGATTTATTAATGGAATTTGTCAATGTGGGATCTCTTGCAATCTCATGTTGGTATTTACACTGGAAAAATCAACTTTGATGCAATCTATTGTGATTTGTTTTTGATTCCTCACCGTCTAGCTCTGTTTATTTTTGGGCTTTAAAAAACTTTTTATTGTATTATGGTGGCACTGCCTTCAACATTGCTGAGACTTCTTAGAGGTAAAGACTGCTTTGTGAAAACATGCCTCTTTGGTGTCTCTCTCTTCTCCATTTTATGGTATAATGGAGCAATACAAGTAAGTGCTGTTTGCAGAATGTTGTCAGTCCTTTGGGAAGATTTCCACTTCTTCTTAGAGTACTGCAGCCTGGAGGGAAATAATTCCAAAAGGGTAATGTGTTAATAGGGAGAAGAATTGTTTAATAGAACTGTAACCCCTTACAAACTTCAGGTGAAACTGGTTTCTGTGTGTGAATAAAAAAACCACTTTATCTGAAGTGGGAGTAAAATCTGGCTAAATGCTATGGTGTATAAAAGTAATCACTGTATTTCTCTTGTAGGTGTGTGCTGAAGCAACAGCTATTGAACTATGGCATCCGTAAAGGTTTGGTGTATTTTAGTTCTGAGCTTTCTGCTGCCTCATTCTTATGCCCATATGGACTTCTTCACTTCAATTGGTGAGATTTGCTTTTGTATGTACAGTGAATAACTGCAGAGTTCTGTCTCCCAACTTTCAGAACTGACTCTGCAATGGTGTGATTAAAGATGAAGCTGTATGCTCTATTAATTAGCATAGCTCTAAATGCACCAGTAGTTTTAAGTGCCCCGATTGCTTTTTTTATCTCATAAAATCTTCAGTCAAATCAGTTCTGTTGTTAAAATGACGACAAGAGAACAGGATACACATTCATTGTATTCTGTTACAGATATTGGATTCAAAACCATAGTTTGGATTGAGAGCTACTTTTTGTGAATTGAGTAAATGAAATAACTCTTGATTAGGATGCACAATTCCAGCATTTCAGGATCCCATCTTTATCCCTCTCAATATTTTAATGTTGTATGAAGCATTTGTTAAACTAGTATTTACTCTAGGATTAAGTGGTTCAGCTGCCTGTTTGCTGTATTTCCTGTAGGATTTACTGCTTTATGAATTTGTAGCTGAGAAACAATCTGTCAGTGCAAGCAAAGCAATTTAAATAAATACTACTTTGTGTAGCTCCATAATTAATTCTTGCCATATTTGCTATGTACCAGATGTATTTGAACAAGAGCTTACTCCCTCACAGCCTTTATTCTCTTCTAAATGAGTCCTGAATTAGTCATAATGCTAAATTTGACACTGCATTCACTTCTATGGCAACAAGCTATGTCAAACACAGGATTGTCTCTCTACTGTAAGTTCTGTCAAAGGGAGAGAAATCTTATTTGAACGCCTCTTCATGGATAATAAGAACGACACAGAATGGCTAGCCAAGTAAACACCACCTTGAATGTTTTTCCTTTTTTTTTTTTGTGCCCAAGTTTGTTCCAATGGGAAATCTCTCTAAATCAGTGTTTCTCAACCTTCTTGATATCAGGGACTGGCTTGCTACCTTCCTAAGTGTGCCAGGGAGGTGTCAGGGACCAGACACTCAACCGGTGATTGAGAAACAATGCTCTAAATGAGGAGGAGCAGGAGATCTAATAATTGAAATCATTGCTTCCTCTCTAGGTCACATGACAGACTTAATTAACACAGAAAAAGACCTGGTGACATCACTGAAAGATTATATCAAGGCAGAAGAGAGCAAGCTGGAACAGATCAAAAAGTAAGCAGCTGGTTTCATAACACTAATATTTAATTGTGACTCCACCTTCATGTACAAGAAGGTTCCTGAAGGCTGAACAGGAATTTATTGCCTATGGGGATAAAAATTAATTAGTAATTTCTGCAAGATTTTTGTCCTAAATGAATGTCTCTTTTGTGAGTCGTCATTTTGTTTTATTAATTTTATGATGGTGAGTCTGATTTCTGTATTGAGAAACTTTGATTTCTCTTGGCAGGATTCCCAGGTGAGTTTAGGTCTTCCAAAAACATGCCTTGCTGAAAGGAAACTAACAAATCAAAAGTGTGTGTGTTAGAGAAAACATCATGATGTGCTGTAGCTTAAAAAGTTTTAATATATTGCGATGGCTGCAGTGTGGGTAAGCTGTAACTAGTCCAATAGGCTTCCCAAATGAATTCTAGTAAATCATAACAAAATCACCCCGTGCCATCATCTCTTCTGTATATGCCATATCTTTTTCATAAAAGCGGAGTTGGTTTTAAATAAAAAATTTGAAACTGTATCAATTACCATTTTGTCCAACAGTAAAGATTTTAGGGGGAAGGCCCAATATCGCAAAATGTACCAGGGTTGGGGATTGGGGGAGGAACCTTGTCCCACTGGAAAGGGGAATTCCTACCTTTCAAATGATTTTTCTATGTAACTTCATCTCTTTGTAGCCTAGCCATGGTGGGTTAGGAGATTTATGACCTTTCAGTGGTCCAAAAGATTACTGCCTGTATTACATCTTGGAGCATTGTAACTTAAAGAAGGAAACTTTTATGTCCAGCTATATTTATTTACTTATTTTTGAGGCTTTCTAAAATACATCTGTTTGAAGTCATACATAGGTTTGAAATGTTAGAAGTAGGCTATACAGCCACAAATTAGTTTCATCTGCCCAGTGATCGCTATCAAAGGTGTGTAAGTGGAACTTTATCACATAAGCATCATTACTGCATGTGTATGCTATATAGACATGTACATCAGCAGGTTAAAAACCAAAGAATTCAAAGTTAAAACAAAAACATCCTGTCTTTAAAACTTGCTGGACACCATTCTACAGCTGCAGGGAATGAATACATTCCATTGGCTCCTGAAGTTGGGGGGGGGGGGGGTGAAGGGCCCATTAATCTGTGGGTGGATTATGGTTGGGTTTATATAGTATGGAAGCTTATTAGGAACAAAGTCTTGGCTTCAGCCTCTGGTCTTATGGTTGTAAAGATGGTTTGTATCCACTTTTTTAAATGGTCTTTTTTTTTTTTTTAAATGGTCATATAATAGTAAATAGGGCTTTGGAGCTGTGCTCCAGTTCTGCTCCAGGCAAAAACCCGCTGCTCCGCGCTCCAGCTCTGGGCTCCGCTCCAAAGCCCTGATAGTAAAAATGCTATCAATTCAGTGAAATTGTATTATCAAGCTTTTTTGCGTTAACACGTTGTTAAAAGCTGGAAGCATTACACAGAGCTGCCTGCTCAATCCCTGGCCACGGAAGAAGAGCACAGTGCTTGTTATTAATCCTGTATTGGCTGGCAAATAGCACTAGCACTTCCAGGAGAGAGCCATGTCCAATTGAAGGGCTGGTCTACACTGGGAACTTACATCGCCATAGCTGGGGGTCTCAGGTGTGTGACAAGTCCACACCCCTGAGTGAAGTAGCTATTCCGACCTAACCCCCAGTGTTAGACAGCATTAGGTCTACAGAAGAATTCTTCTGTCAAGCTATCTTCCACTTCTCGGAGAGGTGGATTACTTATGCTGACAGGAGAACCCCTTCCATCAGTGTAGGTAGTGTTTACACTGAAGCACTACAGGTTTAAGTGTAGACATACCCATGCTCTGCTGTTGAGGAGGGTCACCACAACATGGGGCTTCTGTGGGCAGGAAAGGGCTTCAACAGAGGTTTGGAGGATCCATGGGAGGAGTGAATACAAATAATGAATTATTTTACTACCCAAGAGCCCAGAAGGAGCAGTGAGTCAACTAGGTAAACTTACTTTTGTGTGTCTAAATATAAAGCCTATTTACTGTCTCAGTCTAGGTTTATGCAAAGTCCCCTGCTTTCTGCTGTGGCAGACTAGAAATTCTTTGGCAGCTTTATATGAATATTAAGTGTTGTTTCCATATTACATTAATTTTACTCTACCCCTATACTTTCAGTTTTCAAGATGCTGCTGATTCTTATTTTGCATTGCACTATAGAAATTGTTGAAGGGAAGCTTGAAGATTTTTGCAACTGGATAGTGGAGAACTTCTCACAGATGCATATTTTAGGCTGCCTGCAGATACAGGAGTACAGTGCTACATCAGCTTGCAATCAGTTCTTGTATAGGAGGTTTTATTTTTTTTTTAAATCTGGCTCTCATGGTGTGTGTTGGCTTTTTTGTTTGTTTTTTTTAAATAAAAGCTTGGATTCTGGAGCAGTTTCCTGGCAAAGACCAGAATATATGCCCCAGGGTTGAGCATGCTCAGTGACTAACTTTCAAAATTTAATATTTAGATACTAATTTTTTCCCTGTTATGAGTAAAACATGTTTTCAAGTACTTTTTTTGTAAAGTACAAAAATATATCTAAATATTACATATAAATAAATTATCAAAATCCCAGGTAAGACTTTATATTGGACTATTCATTCCTGAGTGAAATTTTATAAAGGAATTGCTGGGACGCTACCTATGGCAGTATGTATTTACCTTTCTTCCTGCATATTGTAGAGGAGTCCTGTGTTGGTGCATTGCGCTTTCATGTTGAAAGATCATGAGTGATGCTACTTAAAGGTTTATACCACAGCAGAGGGAGGGCTGAGAAAGATGACATTTTTGATTCCTTGCACACTAACTTTGTGTATAGATAAAGTAAAAACAAACCAC